GAAAGAGTGCTCAGTTATCTTCAGTTTTCATAGTTCCTTGCTTTGCAACCACTGCCTTTGCTTTAGGCCAGAGAATTTCTTTCTAAACACTTCCTCCTCACATTTAAATCATTAGTTTTGCTGCTTTCTGTGAAGCAGGTTTGAAAGCTGCTGTACATCCTTGGCCAGGACTGGAGAAATTCCTCGGTCATCAAGCCTTGGCATTTGCAAGCAAGCACACCATGTAAACCTACTCATAAACTAATCAAGGATCATCCTAAATTTAGGCAGGCTTTGTGTGTTCCTTGCCCTGGTTGTGTGGCTGTCTGGGAGTCCCATTGTTCTAGTGGTTGAAATCTGTCTGCTCATTTTCTTGATGTGAGTGTTCATGGACAGATTATACTCGTTTGTTCTGGTGCTTACATCGCTTCGGCTTAAATAGGTTTCCCCCTCCCTCACACTTACCTCTACAGTGTTTTTGTGAAAGCAGTCTCTCATTTCACTTTCATTTTGGTGTGCTAAAACAAGTAACTTCACTAAGATCCTCTCACAGAAGACACTCCTTTCTTAACTCTAGTAGCCCGTCTATAAAGTTTATGCATCCTTTTAAAATAAGGATGGCCAGGACTATCACAGTGTTCCAGAAGATACTTCAGCTGTGCCTTTCTCAGTGGTGTTTAATGAGTCTGTCCAGGAAGCACCTTACTTAGTGTGTCCTGGGATCACAAATGTCTTTTTCATGACTGCATTGCATTGATGGGCCACAGTCATCCATGATCAAAAAATGCCCCCAGGTCCTTCTCTTTCTTTGTTTTCTTTCTAACTGATGAGTTTCCAGTCTATAGCACATATGGGTTGTGAGATTTGCATTGCTCTAGGTACATGTTCTTGTACTTTATGCTTTGAAATGTCATCCCATTTCAAGGTTATCTAAGTTTTCCTGTGTGATATTCTCATCCTCCTCTGCATGGTAATGTTTCCAACTTCGTGTCATCAGCAGGTGTCAACAGTGTAAACCTTCTTTTATGCCAGTTCATCAATAATTAAAACACTAAACGAAAGTGATTGTAAGATTGATTTTTGAGGAATTCCACTAGTAGCCTTCTTTTTGAATGTTAACACTACCCATTTGGGTTTGTTTCAGTGTTAATGTGATTTTACTGAAGATCTGATAGTTTGTGTTCGCAAAGATAGTTACTAGAAGAGAGTAGGTGTTTATTCTGTAACATGTTTTCTTCAAACTCTCTTTTGCTACCTTGTTAGAAACTGTATCTGTGACAGTGTTAAGCTTTTCAGACTTTTAGTTACCTTATAAAGAGTTTGCAAATAACAGTTATTAGTCAGTAAATCCCCTGTTTCTGAGGGGGAATCACCAAAAGTTCCCATCTGGTTGAAACAGAAATAATTTACTCTTTTGGAGAAAAAAAGATGAATTACTCTAATGTGAATCTCGTTCAACACCCACATATGTTTTCACTGTTAAGCACTTTGCATCATTAAATACTTGGGTTTGTGAAGAGAGAACTCTTGAGTGAAGCTTTAGAAAAAGAGGAAGATGTGTTTGTAGCCAGCATTTTAATCCAAGTCCTTACACGTCCAATAAAACTATACACTCCCTAAGAATTTTGAGATCAGTCATATGTTTTATACTCTTACTTGGAAATAAATGTCATATTAAGTATGCACTCCATTTTAAAAATAAATCTTGCCAGCAGTGCTTCATTTCAAAGACAGTATGAACTCAGGGCTAGTATTGTGATGAAAAAATTTGCACATCTTGTTGCAAGTGAAAACAAAACGAAACAAAATGTTTCTGCTGTTCCTATTTCTACTCTTTCTTCCATAGGGACAAATATGTAAATTCTCCTTTTGGCTTATAATCACTCAAAACAATTAGTCATAGGATTGTGTGATTTCTCTTGGTATTTATAGATTTTCTGTAGATGAATCAGGTTTACCTGAAGTTTGTCGAAATTATTCCAGTGCAGGGTACTGATGTTTCACATGTATTTTCCATATGTAAATAACACTATATGTGTTAGTTATCTGACGTGACCAGACTTAGTTTTGAATTTGGTCTGTGTCTGTGGTACCTGTGGACTCCATTCAGGGGCTGGTATCCTGGAAAAGGATGCCAAAACCTTCTCTGAAACTGTGTTCTCATTGCACGAGGAAATCCGTATGCTTTAGCAAGGCAGAGAGGGCAGACTCAGTAGGATCTGTAGTTCATGCAAGATTAGGGAAGCAGAGACTAAGTAAATACGAATAAGCCGATATGCAGTGGTATCACATTATCATCAGGAAATAAGAGGAACTTGATTCCAATTGTGAAGAGGAATCTGTAGTAGTATAAAAAACCAGCTTGCTGTGAAAGATTAAAAAATCTTGACTCTGCTTTTCTCTGTACACATATCTGTGCATGTCTGAAACCTGATCCTAAGGTTTCATACCTTATACCTTCATACTTGTACAGGGCATGGTCCAGGCCACCTTTCCAAGAAAGCCAGACTCCAGGAACTTTCAGCTACTTTTGCAACATTGATATTTTTTGCTTTCTTAGTAGTTGCCCTAGTCTGTATGTTAATTTTCAGAACCATGTGGTTCACAAATAATATTTATCTGTTCTATTCACTCCCGTGTGTTTGCAAACAATATCAGTTGTCTAAAAATATGGATATAACAAAATAAGCTCATATTTAGGTGAGTGGAAGTCATTTTATTCTTGGCCTGTTCTGGACAGTTGTGAGAATTCATGCGGGGGGACATCAGATGCTCTACCTCCCCCTTTGTGACTGCAAAATGACCGGTCTCCATAGCACATTGTTTGAGTGTTAAAGGTCAGCTTTTAGAGCAACAAAAGGCGTATTTTTACTGGCATGAACACGCACAACCGTGGGTTCTGGGTGATATTTTTTTGCCATTAAACTCTTAGATCCTTTATTATAGATGAGGGAAACTGGTTCACTGCTTGTGTTCCTCAAGCAGTCTAAGAAGGCAAATAACTTTGTCCTGGGATGGTTTTGAATAGTCAGCTTTATAAACAGTTTTATTTTTTAATATTGTAATATTTTAATATTAATGCCACTGAAATGCATATACTTACTTAGTGCCAAGTATCACAGGTGTCTTGCCTTGCATCTTCAACATTATGATCCGTGGTCTCTCAGAAACTATGGGATGTCCCTTTCCCATGCATCACTGCCAGTAGCAGTTATCCACTGGTACATATCTGAGCGTCTGGGTTATGCACAGCTCTTGATGACAGATCCCAGCCTCTGTGGTTGTAAAACTGGGATGCTAATGGACGTTTGCAATCTCAGTAAGGTGACGAGGTACAAATGCGACTGCAATTTGTCCTAGTTCAGACAGTTGGCAATATGTCAGGCATAGTCCCAATTTCTTACAGTATAGTTGTGATCTGAATGTATTCAGATGCCAAGCCCCACTAGGTTCTTGTGCAGCAGGAACTCAGTTTCCTGCGTTAGACCACAAAGGAAGTGACCTTGCACTTAACTGCATTCCAGTTGCCAACGTCTTCATCTGCAGAGAAGACGGCTTTCTGGTTTCTATGGTTTGTGGGGTTATTTCGGGCAATTTGTAAAGTGTATATTTTTCTTGAAAGTCATTCTTGTGTTATTCCTTCTGGAGAGAAAACACATTGTTCGCGAAATGGGCTTATACAGTAAGCCCTTCATGAGAAAGGTCCATGTTTTGCAAGTATGTACTTATTTCTAGTTTTTAGCGAAGGAGTAGTTCATTAGGGCACATGTCACTGAGCACATGATTGAAGTTATACACACTTCTATGTTATGGTAGAAAAGTGTTATTATTAAAACAATATTAAATGTTGCACTTACTTATGACTATTCAGTATTTATATATTCAATATTCAGATATATGCAGTTAGCACTTATATGTCATTAATTGCTAGCCACATGAAATTGATTGGAGTTAATCTATGGACTGTTCATTAACTGCTCACAGCAGACAGTATTTTAAGGATTCACCTTTCAAACTCAGTGATTGTCCATCTGATTTGTATGCCCATGTTCTCTTTTTCTTAGCACGTTTTTAATACATGTGATCTTTGTAGTACTTGTATATCACTGTGTTTCCTCATTCTTCTTTAATTTTCTGATGTGTAGTTTGTTTCCTATAAATTGGCATCTATAACATTTTGATTGACTTTGTGCTATCCTATTTCTGAGATGGATTTTATTCTTGAAGACAGAGAAATGTATTCTGAACTACCTTTTCAAACCCAGTGTTTTTAACCAAGTGCACTGACATAAAAGGGCAGGATTACTGTTCACATCAGTAGATGACAGAGGAGAGTAGGAAGGAGGATGCATCTCATCAACTGTAAACGTTCATAGCATAGCTCTACATCTGAGCTTTACCGCCATCTCCTCTTACACTCTTTGGAGAGAACAAGCAGTTTCTACAGCGTGGTTCATTTCATTTTTGTGTCAATGTCTAAAATAGGTTAGGTGAATTGTACCCTAAAAAGCATATTTTTCCCCACTGAGTGTAGAGGGAACCTCTGTGTGTGTGTTGTGTGTCAGATCTAGTGCTATACAATGGAACAATCAAGTTGGGGTTGATGCATTCCAATCCAGTGTACCAAGTCTGATGTTACTGGCCAAGCATCTAATATTTGCTTGAGTCCCATTGACTTAATGAGGACCCTAGAGCATATGTCAATGCATTGTAATTTATTTTGATAAGCAGAAGATTTTACTGGTTGTTTTCCTGAAGCTTATCGCAGCTGTAACCATATTCCTGTAAAAAATCAATATCATTCCTGTAAAAAATCAATAACAATAAGTAAGTTGAAGTACAGTGTTTGAAGTCAAAGCCATGATAAGGAGGCTAGTATAATTTTATGTATACTTTTAGGTGCACATTAAAAGAAAATTGTACGAGTTCAAACAGCATAAAGGGTTGGTATAACATTTCACATGCACCTGATAAAGATCTGAAAATCCTGCTAGATTTCCCTGCTGAGAATCAGGTATGTACATAGTTTCGTGTGTGTTTGTTTATTGTGACTTAAAATGTGTTGTTCTGACACTTATTGAACTTCCTTTCTTTTGTCACCATGTTCCATATATTAGTCCCTCTTAACAATTGGCAAACGTATTGGAAACTCCTGTAGACTGAATGTGTCAATCAAATAGGTCTTCTCTTCCTCCTCTGTAAAATGTATCGGGAAACTACACTTCTTGATGTCAAGTCAAAAATTCACTATGCTGACACAGGCAACGTTTCCATTATATCACTTTATCAGCTATTTTAATATTTCTAGTGACTATATATCAAGTGCGTTATGGAAGTTCTGAGCTTTGTAACAAGTTACAAAACATTCACTTAGACACATATGCTAACACAAATGCGTCTTCAAGTGTTTGATATTAGTATTTACTCAGTGTCTGCTCACAGCACACAGCCTTGAGTATTTGATTATCAAGTATTGTGACTGGCCACTTAATCTGCATGCTATTGTTTCTGGTTTCCTGATTGAATGCACTAATGTGATCATATTTGCAAAGCGCTCTCAGCCAGAAACAAAGGATAATTCATTACAAGACAAATTCTGTTTCATAATTAAGTCACTTTGGTTATGGATGCAAACGTCGTCTCTCTGTGAGGATTTGTACATTCTTGCTGAAATATTCTTAAGGGACTATAACATAGAACACTGTTACAGAACAATTCTTGTTTTAAAATCCAAAATTATTCCAGATTGCTCCCCTAACATACCTTACAGATCCATTTCTGGAAGTAAGACATGCTGTTTCTTTCACTGCTCTTTCTGTATTGCTTCATCAGTTGGGAGAGGCCCTCTCCTTTGATAGACCTCCTAGTCAAATGTCAGTTTCCACCACAAAAATTTTCATTTTGTACATTTCATACCTTGTAGTTTTCTGTAAAGACAAGGTGGTGACATAACAAGTACTTCAAGAAATCGGTTGTATTCTTGTTTTTATCGTTTTATAGGTTTCTGTGTCTGCAAACAGAAACAAAATCCTTACTTCCTGTATAATAAAAATTGTTAAACCTGTTGAAATATTTTATGAAAATGTAGAGCTGAAAAACTCATCCTGTTCCTGCAATCTTACCACTCCGGTGATAACTGATGATGGTATGTTTTCCTATTACATGTATTTAATGCTTATTCACTGTCCTTTATTACTGAGGAGAGCTGAGCATACATACAGCCTAATGAGTGTGAGAGTATGTACAGCCTAATGAGTGTGAGAGTATGTAATGCGTTTTATTAAATGTCAGTGAAAAAAATATTCCTGCTCTGTCAGGTGAGTTGAGCATACTCACACTATTCTTGCTAATTAAAGATTTGTTAACGTGGAATCCTTTCTAGAAGTAAGAAAACATGGCTTGAAGCAGCTTCTTCACACCGGTCTGTAGCAGTGCAGTCTTTTAGCATTAGTAGTATATTTATACGGTGCCATTAATCACTGTCTAAGGAGACGTAAGATAGCTGCAATGACAATCAAGCTGGCTGGAGAGATGGAAGAAGCAGTGTTGGCCCAGTGCTCTGTATCAGCCTAAATTAGAACAATCTGACTATGAATGTCTGTGCAATAAATGATCTTAACATTCAATTAACTGTTTCAACCTAACTTAGACACTTGTGAGAAAGCAATTTTCCCGTGTAGAGGATTAGCAGAAAAATACATGGTTTAGGGGCAATTTGGCTGGTATGTCTTGTGTTTGATGTCATTTCATTCGTCTTTCTGAATTAGTGGTTGAATCATTTTGCAATAATTCTTATACTGCTTTGCTCACCAGTAGCTCTCAGGATTAGAGACCTGAGCCATTTGTATTGGACACATGATGCACGTGATCCGTTTTGTGCACCTTACGGGCAATTGCAAGTCTTAGAATTAAGTGGTACATTAGTGTTTAGACTTTTGGGCTGTTCTCTAGGCTTTGGTCTCAAAGGTCAGATGATAATCCTTCACAGCAGAGTCTTATTTGACTAATAGGAGGAAAATGTCCCCCTTGCAATGCTTCAAGGGACTGTAGAGAAGCACAAAGCTTTTCTTAATACAGGTTGTCATTGTACCTTTTTTAAAAGTTGCTTATGTTAGAATACAAGAGTTTTAGTCTAAACTGAGGGACAAAGATAACAAGCTCAAGGATACCTTGTGCTCTTAAGTGGCTTGAAGAGGAAACAGAAAATTCAGATAAATGACTGCCTTTATCTTTTCCTAGATAATATAGCCCGAAAGACTCTTGCATGAATCTGGTTCTCTTATAATATCCTCTTGTAGAAAGAGGAAGAAAATGTTAACCACAACTTAGCAATGACCTGTTCTGAAGAGCTCAGTGCTGCAAAAAGCTCTCTCTCTTGGGGACCCTTGACCCTGCATGAGGTTACGTTGAATAGTGGAATCTCAGGAGCTCATCTTATGGCTTTGTATGGGAGAAGGTCCCCTGGCGTCATACCAGTGTTGTGTGTCGAGTTCCTGTCCAATATTGACTTGGGAATTAGGAAGAAAAGACTCTCACTAGCAGGTGACAGCTAGGGTTATGTCCATGAGTATTCTGGTCTATTAAGCAGTGTCGTTAGCAAACATTGTTAGTGGATTTTTAAGAGGGACAAATGCATTAGAGAAGAAAAGTGGCCTTTATTGACCCAGTCCCAAAAGCCATGTTTTATTATAATTATAGAGTACATCATGTTGGTTCTCTGTCTTCTCAAATTGAGGCTTTCTCTTACCCCATTAGCAGGTTTTCAGAGCATAGTGTTATGGAAGCTAGCTCACCTTGCCTGCGCTTTGTGCCAGGGATGAGCCTTTGACAGTTTTAACCAGAAGGCTGTGAACTTAGCTTGTGTCTGCCCTTATTACTGCCATTCCCATGCTCCTACCAGCTGAGATTTATGGGTGGATAATGCAGGTGTGGAAGTTATGTTGGGTGTTTGTGCTACCCCATATAAACTGACCTCAGTCTCACAAGAAGATGCACTTGCAAAACTCCTTCAGATATCCCTTCTGGAAAAAAACATTTTGAAAATACCTGCTACTCAGTGCAGTCTGATGCATTTTGAAAGGTCAGCCAAGGCCATACAGAAAATAATAGGTTCCATTAATTTCAACACAGACAAAATCAGGAAACCATATCCAACAGTGTTGTTTTTAAAGTATTTATACAAGCTTAAAAGAGGAGACAAGCTCTGCCATAAGCATATAAATTCATTACTTTTACTTACTACTCCTAGTAAAATGCTATTTTTCAGTAGCTTGTGGCTCAAGACCCTTCACATATAATGAACTAAGCGAGTGATTTAGGTGATTTTGTGCCCCACATGCCAGATTTCTGCAGATACGTAGATTTCTGGAGATGCAAATAGGTGCTTGGTGAAGGATTTCAGAATGTCTGTGTGCTCAACCACGTATTCAATCATTAAACCACCTTTGAAGATCAGACTGTTTGCTATCCTTTTCCTAAGGTATTTAAGCATATGAACAGTCTCCAGGGCTGTTTCTAACAAGCAGTGCAGGTGACCTTTGCAGTGAGCACCCAAGTGCCATGCTGACGTGTGCAGCTAGGAGATAGGTCTGATATAACAATGTAGATGTAGCTAAAACTGGTTTTCATCTGAACAAGCCAGCCTGTGATAAAGACAAAGCTTTCTCTACCTTTGCAAGGTAGGTATACTTTAAATCTATGTAACTTTCCCGGATTAAAGCACTATCTACTTCCTAGCATAGAGAAGCCAGAAAAGTCTGCACACATGGGTTTCATTTGATCTCCAGCAGGCATTCATTTCACAGACGTACACATCTGCAGGCACACAGATGAAAGGGACCATGGCTTAAGTGGTATATATCTGACTCTACTTTTCGATGTGGTATTCTGCTCATGGGAGAAGATACTCTTTCATTCCACAGCTGCCAGTGAATTGTCAGTATAGTAATTGCTAGCTGAAATAATGGCAAATTGACTCATGCAATCATAAAAGATTTAAATAGGATGAAAATTACTACTGCATAGATTAAAAAAAAGCCTCAGAAACCAAGTCTGTGAGACAGAATGAGAGAGAAGTATGGTATGTTGGGGTCTTTCACATTAGAAGAGTCTGTTGTGTTAGGATTTGGGTTCTGGCTGTGCAACAGAATACCACTGTGTGCTCTTCGGGAGATGATTTTATATCTCTGCAGGGTAGCATTTCCTTATCTGCATCCTGACAATAACATTAGTTTTGTATGTCATGCAGTGGTGGCATCAAGCTTAATGAATGAGTGTGTACAGGGTCTCGGAATAACTCATCTGAAGGGTGCAGTGGAAGGAAAAAATATTTTTATCAGTCAAAAGTGTGAGTGAATGTTTGTATGAGAGAAGGTGCATACCATGTAGAGAACAGCTGAAGGCACATGAGCTTTCAACTCTGTTTTATTTTTACAGTTATTTCTTGTAATATCCAGCATATGTCTAACAGTCACATTTTTCCAGATTGTCTAGTTCTCGAAGCATCGCTGTCCTCAAGCTCTTGGAATATCACACAAACATTTCGGTTGAGGAAGTAAGAGCCTGGTTCCTGTTGAAGTTTGTTGAGGGGTTTATGTGTATGTGTGGGGAGGGGGGATGAAGTAATTTTTTTGCTATTTTTTAAGGAAATAATTTCCCTAAAAATAGTCAAATTCCTTTTCTTGGCCCATTTCCTCCTTCTCTGCTTTTTTTATTGTCCTTAGAAAGTTACTTCTTCTGATGACTTGTATTTAATGGGACCCTGGGAGTTAGCTGTAAGAGTCTTTACTATGACTGAATTTATGACAAGTGCCTGAGGAGATAATAAATGATGACACAATGACATTAAAATAATTTCTGTCCTTGTGAAAAAAGGTGGCCCCCTGATACTCAGAGTAAGACTGAGATTAGAGGAGTCGTGAGATTCTGTAAAAGTCACTTTATGGAGCTGTTTTTGAATAGAAACAAGTGCAATTTAAGTATGGTCGATGGGTAACACGAATACAATTGAACCAGAAGGTAACATCTAATCTGCTAATAGGAAAAATGAATACCTATTGTTCTGTATGCATTGTTTTTCAGAGTCACACTTTGTGTTGAGAGCTTGCAGTAGAAAGCATTTGTGCTGAGTACATGACCTAACCCTTTCTAACATGTGGTTGTTAAAACTTAGAAAGATCTAACTAACATACACTGTAGGTAACTACAATGTTTCCATTCAGAACGCTCCTCCCCTATACAAAAAGGCTAATTCATAGGCACCTGGGATGAAACTGAACTTCTGCTTGTTGGGAAGTGGCACATCACTTCCTTGTCCCTGGAGCAACACGGGGAAGGAGCTGTCTGTCTCGTAAACCAGAGCATTTCTCAGCACGCATGGAGGGAGCCTGTTCTGCTCTTGGCTGACCTCCATGCTGATTGATGCATTGCAAAGCAAGATGAGGACAAACTACTCTCCAACAGGCATATTTTTTGGTAGAGGAAGGCAATACAAGCCAGCAATATGTGCCAGCACTACACACACAGAAGAGAAGGTCAGGCAAGCTGCGAAAGAATCAGTGATGGTTTTCTGCCCTTTTCTGGTTAAATATGTGGCCAGTTATGTACTGTAGAAAACCACAGCAAAATGAAAACCAAAGTGCTTCATCTGCTTTATGCTTTTTAGAAATCTTTGACTCTCAGCACAGATTGTATTTCATATTAAATTTGTCCTCAGAATAAGCACAACAGTACAATAGGCTTGGAGGATAAATGCAGGTTATGTCGTTTACGCATTTCATTACATGTCTGCCAGGTTGTTCTCTTGGGTTTGTGCTTTTTTGTGTCATTTGAATTTTCACATTCATGGATGAATCTAGATTGGGTTTCTGTGTCTTACAAAACCTTTGTTTTCTGTGTTACCAGCTGCTCACGGTGTATACACAAGGGTGACTGTAACAGCTGTAAATGGACACGTGTCTCTCCTGCCACCACCTGCCAGGTAAAATTTGTTGGAGAGGACTGGAGTCCCCTGTGATGCCTCTTCCTTGTATTTTTTACATCTGAGCAGAAATCTGTCTCTTCCTTGTCCTGACATGGAGAAATGCTGGTGTTTTTCAGGATAATTGTAATCCAACTGCTTCCAAGGGGATCGCCACTGCACAGAAAACAGAGGTTAGTTAGCATTTTAAAACTGGCATTATTGAGGTACTGTGGGTTGGGAGAGAAATGTATTTAAAATGAGAAGACTTTGCAGGAAGAATAGAGACATGGATGAAGAGGTAATGCAGAACTGGGATTGATACTATTTTTTTGTAGTGCTTTGTTGGTGCCTAAAGGTGCCGACAAAGATTTATGTTTCAGGTCCAGGCATTGGGACTGTGGACACTGCAATAGTTGTGTGTCTACCTCTAGGTGCAGTATTTACAATATTGCTTTAAGTGCCAAAGTCTCTGTATGCTGTGTTTAGGCAGTCCACAGGAGCCAGTGTGCTGAGGGCTAGGACATGTAAGTTGACCAATAACAAAAGAACCCAAAGCCCATAATTTTACACTTCTTACCTAGATTTCGATGCATGTTTGAGTTCTGCTGTCACAGACAACTCTGTGAAACTAAGTTTCAGTCACAAACCTCTCTCTCATTTTATGCAGCCAGATTACAGCTTCTCCTGAAACATAGCTGCCAGGGGAGCAGAAGGAAGGGGAGGATGTGACACCCAGTTTCTGCATAGCAGACAAGTGTCTAGAGGATTCATCTAGGAACTGAAATCTCTGGGTGTTAGTAAATCCCTGGTTCACACTTCCAGAAAAATTTTCCTTGCTTCCATGCTGTAGACAAAACTGGAGATGGAGCTGCTTTCCATCCATCCCTCTCAAGCTGGATCACTGGAAAGAAAAGAGTGTTGCTCATGCCAAAGTACCTTCTGAATCTGGTTGTTGAGTTCTCTATTGAAATCATAGGCTGTAGGTGTGCGTACAGTCCATTCTGTTTGTGTGCATACGGTCTACACAATTTGCCTCCTAGGCCAGCCCTTTAGCCTTTTGCCTTGTAGGCCAGCTCTTTAACCATTACCTTACCCTTCATTGTCTGTGGTGCCAAAATGTTTCTATTTTCTCATAAAACTGACCAATCTTGTCATCAGTGGTTGCTTATGACATGCAGGTGTTAGGAGAGAAATGACTAGTGAAGAGAAATTTGTCTGATGAGTAAGTACACAGAGATTTGCTGCCTACACTTTTTGGTTTCTGCTTTTCTGTGAGTGATAGCATGATGGGTATAAATAGCAAATGTGTTCTTATCTCCAAATGTTTCGTTAGAGCTACCCAAACTATTACCTGGGAAGGCAAGAATTACCTCTTGAATTTAATTGTTCAGCTGAGGTTTCTTAAACAAAATCACAAAATCCATTTTGTTTTTTCAGAGATGAGTGGGATTGTAATACATGTGCTTCTGAGCCATTAATATTCTGGATTTGGTTTGCATATAAAGCATTACGGGTGGTGAAAGAACAGAGGAAATTCTTCTTTGCTCTGCTTCCAAGTGCATTAATTTGACATTGGTAAATAGTTGGAATTGCCTGGGAGATGGCTTTCTTCCACACGCCTTATCTTGGAAAGACAGTGATGGACAAGGCAGTGAAAGCACTAGAGGCAGTCCAAAGGCAGATGTTTATTTAGAAGTGATTGATCCATTCAGAGGGCTTGAAATTGCATTTGAAATCCTGCTCTCCTTTGACTGCTGCTGCTTTAAGGAGAGCATACTGGAGAGCTGAGAAAGAGGATTTGTGTTTTCCCACAACCCCAGCCGAGCATTTCGATTAATACACTTTTCTTTCAGTGGCAGCCCCAGCCCTCCTCCTGACTCCAGCTGCTGGTTTCCATGCAGGCACCTTCCCCCTCCCTGCGCCAGAGCAGCAGTTGGAGTGGTTGTGCGAGTACTCTTGGCCGGGGAACTGATTTGGCTGGAAATAACTGCTTTCTTTCGGCAGGTTATTTTTCATCTGGTCCACTTCCCCCATGTAGTTCTTCTCTTGGCCTCGGGGCCCTGTGCTAGCACCACAGGAGGCCTCGTGCTGGAGTGGGGACGAGCTCCCCGGGGTGGCAGAGGCTGAGCTCCCCAGGGTGGCAGAGGCTGCTTAACCTGGGCTGCTGCCAGAATCTCGCTGTGACCTGCAGCCATGCTAACCACACCTCTGAGGATGTGGCTGCCACTGTTTACACAGCCCCAGGGAAGCGTGAGGCTGTCCGCGGGAGGGTGTGGGGGGGCTGCAGCTCAGAAATGTGGAGCTCTATTGAAGCTGACAGGGCTGTGCTGATTTACATTACCTGAGGACCTAGCACACACTTTCTGTATGTCTCTCTGCATGTTTATGCTGCTTTCATCGCATGCCTCTCAACCAGTGATTTTTATAAATACCCTACTGCCTCTCCGCTGTCTCCCTTGCCTTTTGCTACTGGGCGTCTCTCCCCTGCCACACAGCGCCTGGAAGGTCAGCAGCTCGCTGGCACTGGGGAAATGAGCACCACAGACCCCAGCGAGGATGCTTGCTCCCTCCTGCATTCAGCGAGGAAATTCACATTTCCTTTTGCTGCTGAGGAAAGTGTTGCAGAGCATGGCGGTCAAGCTGGGAAGCAGGCTCTGGAGTAGCCGAGGCCAGCTTGCCTCAGGGCTGTGAGTGACTGCACTGATGCTTTGAGTCTGAGGCAGGACATGGCGAGGGAGTCGGTGTTGTGTAGCCGCAGGAGAGGCTGGAACTTCCAGCGTGAACCATTCTTGCTGCCATTTTTTTCTGGTGTAAGAGAAGAAACAAGGTAAGCTAAGCTGAGTCGCCCCGTGGCGTGGGGCGCCTGGCAGGGAGACCAGAGTGGGCCCTGAAAGTGCCTCAGCGTCCTGCCACACCTCTGGGCAGGGGATGCCTCATGTTTCTCAGTCTCTGTGTGTTTGTGTGATACTGAGTTATTCCTGTGCTTCAGGGCTCCCTGCTGGTTATTGGTGAGAGCCCCGAAGCAGTTTTTTACTCCTGTCTGTAGTATTTGGATTCTGGATTTCTGTGAGGATACTGACTGTCCTTGGTGTGCTGGAGGCTGGGCACAAGTAGAGGGATGGGACACGGTGGAGTAAGGCACTGGTGCTTTGCTGGCTTTAAACTCTCAGATTTCTGCTTCATTTTTCCTGCTCCCATACGGAGGGTTAAACGGATCCCCAGGTCAGGATGGGAATGAATTTTCCCCCTCAGGCTGTTTGTCAGGGGTTTCCTTTGTCCTCCTCCATTATCCTACCAGAGGTCATCTTGCAGGCCCTCTGGCCCCAGCCTTTGCACTCTCTTGCCCTTTCCTAAGGCACAAGTTGCAGCTTTTGATCAGTTGTGACAGGTCTCGCATTTGCTCCGGAGCGCTCTGGCATTCAGGGGTCCATGGTAGCATGTGGGGACAATGTGCCGGGACCCTTTCTGATTTGGGCAAATGCTGTGTTTGCAGTGGATGGTGGTGTGACACCAGTGGTGCCCTCAGGCCGCCAGTCCAAAGGCTTGGTGCTGCTCTGGGTACGTGGAAAGATGAGTGGGGAGAAAAACCCCGTGGGAAGGACTTTCTTAGAGGTTTTGCACCAGCACCCTTCTCAGGGTTGGGAAGGCTGAACTGCTTAGTGCATGTGTCCACAGGTGAAGAGCAGAAATCAGGATAATCACAATAGTCTGAAAATTCACTTTAAACTAGTTTTATAGGTAGTCTAAAAGAAAGCTGGAAATCATTTGCCTGAGAAGGTCCCAAGCAGTTTGTGGTTTCACATGCACATTTTCCTGGGTTTTTTGAATGTTTTCAGTTTGTTGTCTGCAAGATACACAGAGAGGAAACAGTCTGTGTGATTATAAACCGGGGAAGCAGCAAAACTGATTAAACATGAGATGCTGTCAAATGCATCAAGTAAATACACTAGGGAAAACATCTCTCTTCCTGCTCGGTAGTGTTAGTAAGTTAGAATAAATAAATATAAAAATACTCAAAGAAAAGCACAGTTTAAAAATTGGCCACATTTCTGCAAGACTGTGACAGCATCAGAGCAAACTAGGATTATTCTTAAATGCTGGAAAACAGATTTATAAACTTCTTAGCATCAAAATGGGATACCAAAATATCCTCACAGTTCTGTTGTACCTTTAGCTTTATATATGACTTTGAAAAGACTTTCTAGTAAAGCTAATTCTGGGGCTCTTTCTCAACTTTTCATTCTAGGATTTGACCCTGCTTTCCCTTTTCAGGTCACGAGAGATGCCTTCATTTGTTTCTCTGATCTCTCGTAGTGACAGCACCATGGGTTTTGTCTTGTGTTGTTTCTTAGTTCTTCAAGGGTCACACAAAATGTATCATTTCAAGCTGGGTTTTTATGATACTGACCTTCCAGTATGTCAGTTTGTGATTCCTTTGGGCAACTTCGTTATGAGATGAGTTGAAATATAAAATATGTAGGTAAAAATAGTTAGCTTGTAAAGATATTGTGATTGATAGTAAGTCCCAGAATCAAGCTTAATAAGATTTGAAACTAATAAGAAAAATGTATCCCAGTGCCATAAAACCCGCATACCTGAGCAGTGGTTGTTTTTGCAGCTGTTGTCTAACTGCCTAGCCTTTTTATAACCGGATTTTGTTTTGCTTCATTATCTAACAGCATATCAGCATTCATTCCATTGAACCTTTGTGGATTTCTACATTAGGCAAAAGTGAAATAACGGTCAAAGGAGAAAACTTTACACGTGCATCAGGCATAAAACTGATACTGACTGGAATCACTGGCTGTAAACCAGAAATGTGAGTTAAGCTCTGAAAAATAATACTATTTACTTTGCATGGTGAAAATTATGCCCAACTTACCCTAGCAGTAGACTTGTGTGAATAGTTGTCGTGGACCTCTCCTCAGCAGAATGGGGGGGAAGCTCTGTACTCCTTTGTTTATACTTCCACTTTAAATTCTCAAGGGATGGGAATGAGTTTGGGGTTTGGGTACAATACAAGGGATGGGTGGGTAGGTAGGCAACTCTCAGCAGTAGTTAGGACAGTTCTGTGGCCCTCTGTGCCTTGCAGCAGGCAACAAGAAATTAGGTTAGAGAGAAACCTCAGCTTTTGTTTGACTCTCCTCTGCTTCAAAATATCCTCCATATATTCTAGGATTCTGCTTGTGAAAGCACAGACACTGTGCCATGGAAGGGAATCTCTCATGCAACAGCATGTACTTTTCTCTGTTGATGATTGCACAGTGTAACCCCCGAGATAATTAGGCTATCTTATTCTGAATCAGTCATTTTCAGGTGCAGCTGTAATGGCTGCCTGTGATTGCCAAGCCCATTTTACATAGCTAGCATTTGAAAAAGTATTTGTAGGGTACAGCTCAATTTTTAGTTCAACCATGAATTTCTTGGGGACCATAGGAAACAAGAGGGAAAGGAGGGAGAGAGGGAAAGGAGGGAGAGAGGGAAAGGATAGACAAAGAGGAAAGAGAGAAAGGGTGAAAGGAGGGGGAGAAAGAGCGAAAGAAAGAGAAAAATAAGACAGAAAAGGAAACTAAAGATTCTCATTCTTGACTAACTAATGTGTTGGCAGCACAGAGAAGTACACTGCAAATTACACAGTTTACACAGCAAAATCACACATTGCATTACACAGCCACATCCCAAGGCCATAAGACCAGTATCTGTACCTTCGTCTGTGATTATTGTGACACACAGCAACTGCATTCAGAAGATGCCCTACTTTGCCCTACTCCCTGCACTCTCTTTCCACTTCCATCTGGCAGCTCAAGGAGAGATTCACTCCTCTTCTGTCCTCATCCTTTGCTTTAGGTTATAGGCTTTGTATAGTAAAGCCAGTGAGTGGCATCTGTGTTTCAACATCTGACTGTTTTCTTTCTCCCCCAGCATTAAAGTTAGAAATGTGCTAAACGATACACAAATGACATTTGCACTCCCACCAACACGTAAAGAGGCCAAAAGTGTATGTATACAGGCTAATGGGAAAAAATGCTCACCACCAATGACCCTGCATTATGTTTCACTGCCATCATGTTTTGGAATCACACCAAATACCTCCTGGATCAGGTAAATTTGTCTTTCTGTACTTCTCATGTATTTATTAAAATGTTGTCCCACTGAGCTGTTACGAGCCTTGTTCCTTGGCCAGACTGCAGCTGATACAAACTTGGATGACTGCTGTAACCTGTTGTGGAGGGTGAATTTACGCCGGTGAACTGATTTAACATGTGACATGCAGATAGGGTCATGATAGCTGCAAATGGGTTCAGTGTTCTGCAGGATTCTGTAATCTCCTTCTTGCCCACTCCAGGTCTCCTTTGTAGAAGTCAAAAATAGTCTCTTCATACTAAAGCTAAATCCAAAATATGGGTAGCATGGATGAATTAAAACTCCAGTTAACTTTGGTTTCTTGATTCTAATATACCCTTCACCTCTGAAACAGTATAAAGTATGAGTGAATTGGAAATGAAGTGAAAATAATCACCATTGCAGTGATACGCGTAGACTTGCTTTAGGACTGGGTTCCCTAAAGCCAAAAGAGCCCTTTTCAAGCCTCTGCTGTGTTCTGCAGCAGACTCAACAACTCTGGTGGAAGACTTATAGAGTGGTTTTAAGATATTCTCAGGCATGGCTTTCCACCTGTCCCTCTGCCTGCCTGCATAGTTTTTACCCGCTTTCACGTTCTTAACCTGTTATCTTGGCGTCAAGCACTGGCAAGTGTGGGTTTGAGGTAATAAGTTGTGCTGGCAGCTGCAGCAGCTGAGCAGCCAAGACGCATGCCCTCATCTCCAGGTGAGGGGCAGCTCAGGCAGCTGGAAATTAATAATACCTTAAACCACTCCAACTGTATTCAGCAGAGATTGTGAGCCAGAGCCCTCAGACACAAGCACCATTGTGTGGGCTGAGACAGATGGTCTGAACACTGACGAGAATGTTTCCTGTGAAGTGCCTGGCACCGTTGGTTCGTCCTGAAGAAGGCAGGAATTAAGCACAGGCCAGGCTGCTCTGGGCCAGTGAAATACCATGATGCTCTTTCTTCAAGACAGAATATTAAATCTTAGTCTAGGTTTTTGGCTGCATGAAAAGAAAACAAGGTGGAGAGTCCCTGAAAAGGAGTATGCATGTGTATGCTATCGAGCCATTTGGGTTTGAGGCAGCAAAAGCATTTACCATTACATTATGAGGAAAGAATGGAAGTACACTGTATAGCGCAAATTATCTTGTCTTGCAGCTTGACTTTATTATATTGGCTGCTCCTAAGGCAAAATACACATGTAGTTTATTCACAGCTGAAGTCTTAATGCAGGACTTACCTGTGGAAAAACATAATATTATCCTCCCTTCCCCCTGCCCCCCC